CCCAGGGGTGGGGCATTTTCCCATTGTTCTAGAAACAGCATTGTTCCTTTTTCAATAGTTCACTCAAAATATGCCTATTTAGATAGTTATTGGTATTTCTATGAAGAATATTTTACATGTGTTTTTTTTTTTGTATCTGTCTAAGAAATTGCTTCCTGCCATTGTCATCAGTTCACACATGGAGGAAAAACCATCAATAAATATTGATGCATCATTTGAAGAGTTAAAAGGAAAGACACACTCTTTGTGGGTGAATTTTTGAAGCAGAAAGGCCTAGAAAAACTCTGTGAGATATTTGAAAGCTAATATCAACTTCGTGTTTTGTGTGTTCAATGCATTAATTAATACATTGACAGAACGGTTCTATCATGATGAAAAAGTACTCATGTGAAGATCATTCGTTGTTAGAGCTATTATATTTTGCTAGTTTATAGTTCTGTCATTGATATTAATCAATGACAGAACAACATGGGGCATTTGCAGCTTTTCTGAACAAATGTGACAAATGCCCAACAAATGCCCGGTTAGGGGGTGGGGGGTGGGGGTGGTGGACACACTTGGATTTGGCTGAGCCATAACCCGGTCCAGAAGGTTGAAATTTTCTATTCTGGGATTTTTTTGTGGGACGGAAATTTTGCAGGTATTTTTTGGGCACCTTGATTTAAGTAGGGAATAATTTTGGGGGTATTCAAAACACTCTGAACATTGGTGTAGTACTGGGCGTGTATGCCAGCCACATAGCACTAGACTTAAGGGTCAAAGAGTTTGTTTTTTGGTTCCAGATGATTGACCTTGCTAAACAAGGAGATGAAGAAACAATAAACAGCTGGATAACGGTGAGTAAATTTTTTAAATTTCCCATGGCTTCAATTTGCACTATGATTGCATTCGGGGCCTAACCTCCTCCACACACTCACATAGCGTAAACTAACATGGGGATGAGGCTGCTGACAGTGTGTTTAACCCTTTGAACCCTAAGATCAAAATTTGAATTCTCATTTGTTGCCTCTATTCATTTCCCACAGAAGTAGGTGGGAGAAGTTGAAAAAATATCAAGCAAATTCATCTTGTGTGATCATGTCTGTAATTCTCATGACCACTCTGTTTAACAAAGCACTGATATTACAAGGAAAAATTTGATGCTGATCACTCTTAGGCTGAAAGGGTGAATACAGGTCTATTTTACGGAAAATACGGGAGGACTTGTGTCTGCTTAATAAGGGTTTGTCTTGATACAGGATTTTTTTTGGTGATCTTCTAGAAAAAAGAGTTGATCCCCAAAGTGTTTGGCCACCTTTTGCCTCGTTATGAAGACAAGGTGAGTGGCTACACAAAGGTGTACAAAATACCTCCACGCAAAGCAGATACTGCCAAGATGGGAATTGTGGAATTTGTTGGAAATGAACTTCCTCCTCTACTGCCGTCAGATGATGAACTAAGAAAACTCCGTCTAGAAAAACTGAGAGACTTGAGTAGAAAAGGAATTCCTATCAGTGGAACACCAGTGTAATTAGAAGTGATAAGTTGATTGGAAGTTTTGTACGAGGATGTTTGCTTTTGGCATAGAGATAAGATCTTGTGTTCTTTTTTACAGTGGAGAAGCGGAGTGCTGGTTCAAAAGGCATTTTATCCAAATATGTTCCCTTAATTCTCTGCCAAGATTCATCACTTCAGTCTATAGATATTAAGTACAATGTGTGGGCTTATATCAGTGATTTATGAATAATGAATTCAATCATCCATTTGTGTGAATACGCTTTTTGTTGCACGTATTTTGCTTCCTGTAAAAATATCAGCCATCCCTTTCCCACTAAAAGCGAGGACTGACTTACCTACTTAACAACAGACATCATCAAGTATTTTGAAAGGCCTTAGAGATTTGCACAAGTTATTAAATATTTTTAAAAGCCTTTCTTCATTAAGGCCTGTTTACTTTGACTCATCAACGCCAAAGTACTCTTTATGGAGATGACATTAAGAGCTTGTGAGTGCAGTTCACTCTTGATTTTCCCATCTTAAAACGACTAAGTGATAAAAGATTTTTTAAAAACATTGGACAAGCACTTTCATTGACTTTTTCGTTAAAAAGTAAAGGTATAGTTAGCCCAACATATGAAACTAAAGAGCATACAAGTAGTTACTTGCGTTATTAACGCCGAAAAGGAATTTAATTTAAAAAGTGCCGTACATATGACTGTAATAGTTGTTTTTCTGAACTGTGTTAATTGCTGTCTGAAAGCTGATGTACTTGCTTTCAATACTTTGAATTTTATAAGCCAACATCAAGACCTCGTTTGAAATGAGAGTGAACATATATAGTCCAAAACCTTTAACGACGATGTCGCCCATACACCTAACAGGTTGTAAAAAAAAATTCAACAAAGAAAGCGAAAAAAAGTCATATAATAACACAAACTTTGGAAAACCCGTTATGCGCAAAAATTAAGCTAAAACGTCCCAAATTATCTGAGAAAACAAAATTATTTTGCTTCGCTTTGTATTTTTTTATATTTTGAACGTTAAATATACTGTGAAAAAACCCAACCCATTTGTTTCAACTGATACAAAAAAGAGAAAAATTTCGTCACGCAGTTCCAATCGAACACTTTCATGTATACTTAACATTAAATTGGTAAGGTGGCCTTGATAATTAAATTTTTTTGCCAGAAATTGCACGGAAATGAAAAACGTGTTTTAATTCCGGTTTCTAGGTGACAAAAACTGCCTGTGGTAGTTGCTCATTTGTTTTCTTTGTCGGTCGACTCCATTAGTTTGAAGCGTATTCAACAATAACAACAGGTGCAAGAGTCTGTTTCATGAGAGGGCTTCAGATGGCTTCCAGACACCTCCAAACCCGTGTTTTTATAAGCAAAAAAAAAAACGTTTAGTATTCGTTTACTTAAAACCCCAGCCAAGTTTACAAAGAAAACCAAACAAAAAGCCTTCCAAACATCATTACTTGTCATCACATTTGAGTTAAAAAGTGGCGTCTAGAAAAAAAACGTCAAAGTTATAATCCCAATCAAGGCTTTTCCTCAGGCTTGATCGGAGATCTCTAAATAATTTTCCGACGAGATTTAAGAGCTTTGGCGATAAAGAAGACCTTATTTGCCAAGAGACTTTTAAGCTAGTAGATTTACACCGCTGGAAAGAAAACGGGCCATGATGAAA